CAGCTTCATCTAGCCCTCACTTAGGACATCCCCATTTGGGCAGCTTCCTCCCCATTGCTCCAAGCAGCTGGTTTTGTAGAGCAAATCCTCTTGTCACTCAGCTGCCATGGTGTCCCCAAGGGAGCAGGCACCTCCAAAGGCTGGGAACAGAGCAAGGGGCAGCACTCTGCTGTTAAACAACAGTTTATCCACGTGAAAACAAGCTCCCAGCAATCCTGCCAAGGTCAGCGTGAACTGCTGAGCTGGTGCTCTGCTGTGAGCCAGAGCTGGGTCTCACACACCAGCCTTTTCCAGGCATGCAGGGCACCTTGGGGAGAAGGAGCACGCAAGCCCTCCCTTCCCATGCTCCTCTCTCTGCCTTCTCCAGGGACATGTCCAACCTGCCCACCCACGTGCTTAACTAGAAAATAAAACCATGGGCTTTCTCCTGGTCAAACAAGATGCACACATGGATGAAATCTGGGGAGGGATTTAATCAATGCAGGTTTGTGGATGGGGTCCTGTGGTGTTCAGCTTGGTCACCACCCTTTGGCCAGCCACCAGGTCATTGTACATAGGGAACAGGGTGTGGAATTCCCTTCTCCTTGCATGAAATCCCAGGAAAGAACATGGTCCTGACCCAAGGTGGGTGCTGCAAAGGGGTCTCCTCATCCTAGCAGCACTCTGAGGGTCTGCTCCAGTGCATGGCTGGGGGTCACTGAATGTGCTGCTCCACCAGCAGTGACCTGGCTGCTCCAGGTATCACCTGCACAGCTCTTCCTTGTCCAGCCTCTCCCAGGGCACCGAGTGAGGATTTTCAGGGTATTCTACTCATTAATGAGTCCTTATGAATTCCCCACTGCCTGGCCCAGCATGGCAGGAGGAATCACTCTCCCAGTGCAGGTGAGATGCTGAGGTCTCCAAGCCCTCTCCTTTGGTCTGCAGCGTCTGTGTTGCTTCTCATCCTGCCCTGCTGTTAGCTCTCCTTGGAGGTATCGTTGTGGGAAGCGGAGCAGTTCTCTGGTTCCTTCGTGATCCCTGCTGAGCACTGCTCCACTTTGACTTTCTTTCTTCCTCTCATTGACTTCTTAACTCCTGTAAACAGCAAGGTGACCACAGGAGTTAACCACAGAGCAATGGATTTGCATGTATGAGGTCAACGTGGCTTTGTCCCAGAGTAGGGACAGCGCAGGAGGAAGCAAAGCTCTGAAAAGGTAAGATGAAGAGAAATCCCTCTCACAGGTGGGGTGCACGAGTACCTGGGGGAGGCTGTTGTGACCCTGGAAACAGAAACAACATGTGAAGCAGGAACAGGCAGAGAATGGACCTGGTGCAGGAGTGTGTCTGGGAGGGTACCCAGACCAGTAGGATGCATTTCGTGGAGTTCTCCCCTTTCCAGTATGGCACATGGCTCACACCATGTGCTGAGAGAGGGGTCATGACTCTCCATCACCCCATTCCTGCCACAACTGCATCCAGCCCTCACTTGGGACATCCCCATTTGGGCAGCTTCCTCCCCGTTGCTCCAAGAAGTTGTTTTTGTAGAGCAAATCCTCTGCCATGGTGTCCCCAGGGGAGTGGGCACCTCCAAAGGCTGGGCACAGAGCAAGGGGCAGCACTCTGCTGTTAAACAAGCTCCCTCCATGCTTAAGCACCAGCCTTCTCCATGTGTAAGACACAAACTGTCCTCACTGAGGGTACAAAGCGGGTTATAGCAGCGGGGTGTTTCTGACAGAGCAATTTTTAAGACCTGACAGACACACTGACTTATCCCCACCCTTATCAGGAGCAGTTTTCTGCTTATTCATGGGTAGGAAAGACGGGTACAACACATTCCTCTGTCAGCAAGGAAACCTCCACAGCAGCATGGGAAGATCAACAGAGCTGGCAGGAACCTTTCTCTGAACATCAATAACTCACCCCTGGGAATTTGGCCTTCTCCAATCACCACCTCCCTGACTGGCTAAGCAAACATGAGGGACTTAGCCCTGTTAGCTTAGGTGTTTGGGATTGCTCTCCTGGCCACCCTGCCCAGGCTCCCCTGGCTAATCATTAGCAGGGGCTCCTCTGGCTGGAGACACAACCATTCCCAAAATGCAGCACAGCGTGTCTTATCCCAGGGAAATGAAAGACTCCACTCTATCACCTTGGGCAAACATTTGTTTGCAGCTGGGGGATGCCCATGGTGGAGGAGCACCCTCCTTTCTACTGCATTCAGGCACTTCTCACAGGAGCCTCTAGGGAAGCAGCAGAAGTTGTAGACCTGAGCTGATGCCACAAGGAACTCCTCCTCCCTACCTGTTGTCCAGGGATCCTGTCCTCTTTTTCTCTTCTTCTGCAGAGCGTGAGCTTTGTCTTTGGTGCAAAAATACTTCTCATCAGCCTGGGCTTCTTGTAGGATATCATCTTCATACGGAGTAGCCACCTACACCAACAAGAAGAGCAGTCAGTCACAAAGTACCTCACTTTCCCAGGGAGCTGATGACCTGGCTGCATTGCTGGGAATCTTTGTGACCATTGCTATGGAGTGGTGACAAACACTGTTGTTCATAAACCCTCTTAACTAAAAAAAAAGTGATAACTCTATCCCTCAGCAAGAAGTTGGGTAACAGTGTGGGAATAGGGTTTGGCACTTCATGTAGGAAGAGCCATCAGCTTCTGGAGTGAGTTTGGGTGGGGACAACCCGTCTTACACCTCTCAGACCCAACAGCCTGAGCTAATGAGCTGAGGAGAGCAAACACACCTCGCTGTCCGTCGTGTCTGGCTCATCAGATTCCTGCTTCCCAGACTCAGAGTCATCGTCATCTAAGGAAACAGAAAAGGAAGGGTTTTCTGGCTGGCAGGGGGCTCAACAAGCTCACAAGCTGGTGCTGAGCCACCAGTGCAGAAGACAGATTCAGCAATAAACTGTGTTGCAAAGCAGAGGCACTGCAAGCTACGTGGCTTGGAGTGAACGTTTGTGGGAGATCCAACAGGACTCTGTTGGGGAACCAGCTCCCAATAAAGCTGTATCTGTAGGACTTTGCTACCCCAAGGTTGCAAGTGTTGCCCCAAAGTCCATGGCCACATGCAGGTTGGGAAGCTGGAAGGTATTTAAAATCCCAGACTGCACCTTTCTGTTCTAGATCCAGGTGAGGAGAAGCGTGTCTGGGTAAAGAGGCCACAATGCACGATCCCCAGGTTTGCTGCCGGTGCTGGTCGGTGGCTCTTGGCAGGGACCATGTGTGGAGGAGCAGAGGAAGGAAAGGTGGGGGAGCTGCTTCCCTGCCCAGTAAAGAATTTTGCTGCACACAGACCCTGAGGCTACACAACCCCAGACACGTACCTGCACGCACCAGACACGCACCCAACCTTTGCACAGAGTGAGGCTGCCCGGGCCAGGGACCAAGCCATGCTGGTGGTGGCATCACCCTGTCTGCACCCACAGTGGCACATCTGTGCTGGCTGCGAGGGGGAAAAAGGGCTGGGGACAGAGCTGTGCCCTCTTCTGAGGGACATTCCAAGACCTCAATACTTCTTGCTCCTGACACTAAGGTCTAGCTGGGGTGGGACTGTGGGCAGGACAGCCTCCCACGCTGTCCCTGCCTGCGTGGGAGAGCAAACGATGGTGCTTTCAGAGCCCCTCTAGTCTGATCTCATCCTTACTTTATCCTTCTGGGGGTTAAGGTTCACTGGAAAGTGCAGAAGTATTTGTGTATTGTTTCCTGGGCTTTGTGTCAACCTTAAGGTGAGAACAGAAGAAAGTCCTGTATTCCCACACCCAGAATGTAATCAGCTGAAATTCTTCTGCTATGATGGTATCTCCTTAGCAGGTAAATCACAGAGAGAGGACTCCCTTTCTTTTTTTTTCCACCCTCTAAAATCCTGCTCCGAAGAGTTGTTCCCAAACCGCTCCGACACGCCCAGACCAACTAATCCAGGAGAGCTCAACTTTCTGGCCGAGCCAGTAGGGCTGGTACTGAGCAGCCCTGAGCAGACGTGCTTCCTGCTCTGCTCCCCATGGCTGCTGCCTCCCACCCACCCAGCCAAACCTGGCACCCATGTCCCGTGGTGGCTGGGCAGGGAGAAAACACCTGTCCCCAGACTAAGGGCACTGCTGGTTTTGGGAATGGAAAGGGCTTTTATGGGGATGGAGAAGGGAAAGGGAGGAGAGCATCCTGTCCTACCTGCTGCAGGTACCAGCATCTCTCGCTCTATGCTCAGCCCTACGTGCCGTGCCAGCACAGGGCACACTGTGGAGCAAGGGGACACAGACAGGGATGGTTTCTCCAGTTCTAGTCCTGCAAACCTCTTGCATTTTCCCCATTTCTGCTGGGGTGACTTCTGAGCTTCTGCTTCCCTGAGAGGGGCAGGTAATGCTGGAGCAGCCAGCTTGTCTTGTCGTGGCTCACCGTGGAGTGGGTTTTGCCAATGGATCTGTGCTAAATCAACCTCTCTAGCTCCTGGAACCTCAGTGCCAGTCAGCAGCTGAGTGCAGGGTGCTCTGCAGAGCTTGCAAGGACACCCCATGGGTGGCTCCTGCCCTGTGCTGGGCAGAGATACTGGGCTCTTCTCCATAACAGCCGGGGTTAGTATCTCTCCATAGATTCTGGGCCTGAATTTTGGGCATCCCTAGGGTTGAAAATTGAGCCCTCAAAGACAGGAATGGGAAAAGTTCCCCTGATGGCCCAACAGAGCTGGAAGCCAGGAGTACCTTGGCCCCTGGAAGTCCTGTTTAGCTATGGCTTCAGTCACCTGCAGAGCCCAGCACGGAGAGCTCCCAGCTGTAAGGTGCCTTCACCAAAATGTACCTTTTTCTCTTGCCTTCTTAATCGTCACATCTGCCTGGGGCTTTTTACCTGGTTCTTCCTTCTGTGCACTGACAGCCAGTCTCACCCCGGTCTCTGGAAGGGTCTCTGGGTCCCTCGGTGTGGACTTGTTTGTTGGATGTGGCCGTGAGAGAGGGAGCTGTAAGATACAGGGAGCACGAATGCCACCTTTACCAAGCAGGAAAAGACATCTGTCCCAGCCCCTGCTGGGGACATGAATCACATATCATCATGGCCATGGTTGTTGTGTATTATACCAACAGCTTTATATTGAGAATTTCCCCAGGTTAATGAAGAGTGAACTCTGATGGAACCAGAGTTGGTGCCCAACAACTTCTTTGAGGTCAACATCTTCAACCCACAGACCCTGGGCGTGGACCACACTGGATATACCAGCTACGAGGTCCAGATGCAGCATGCAACAGAGACCACACACTGTCATCCTGCTGTGTCCAATGTCACCTGCTGCATTGACTGTGCAAATTCCACATCATCTCTCCTACCTTGAAAGGCTGTCATGACAGATGGAACCCAATAGACATTTTGAAGAAAATGGCCCATAAACTAAGGGAATGATCTCTGTGTGTATATGTGTGAGTATATATTGAAATGTATTAAAAGTGTGAAACCTGAGAATAGAATCATAGAATAGTTTGGTTGGAAAAGACCTTTATGATCATCTAGTCCAGCCATAAACCCAGCACTGCCAAGTTCACCACTACAGCATGTCCCCAAGTACCACATCTACACATCCTTTAAATGCCTCCAGGGATGGTGACTCCATCACTTCCCTGGGCAGCCTGTTCCAGTGCTTGACAACCCAAATAAATGAGCATGATGTAAATGAGCATGGTGTAAATGGTATGGAGTAAGGGGTGGACTGTGACACCCATGGGGACAAGCATCATGGAGGTATTTCCATGTGCTTGTGGCATGTTGCAGGGAAGCTCAGCACCCGTTCTGCATGGACCTGTCCTTGGACCTGGATGGAAACCCCATGTGCACCAATGTGAGGGCAGGTGGGGAATGAGAGCTGGGGATGAGTGGCTGTGGCTTTACCATGTGCAAATACATCCCCGTCAGCTTCACGTGCAGCAAAGTCACCCTCCCACCGGATGTTAATGGTGGTCACAATGGTGCCAGCACCAGTGCTGGACTCCCTAGGGAAGGGAAGGGGCCACAACTGATGGCAACATGAACCATACTCACCACAGCTTCATCCTCCTCTTCCTCCTTGACAGCACCAGACAGTGCCCGGGAGGCATTGGGCCAATGGTAGGAGAAGCGCAAGTCATCCTGCTCCGTCCCGTATCTCCTGCAGGGACCATGGGCTGCTGGCACAGCAGAGCTGTCCCCAGGGCTCAGCCGGGGGCTGCTGGCCCCCCGTGGCTCTTTTCGGCTGTGCCAGCCCGTTTCCCTGCCACGGCTGGAGTCTGACAGATCCAGAGGTGTGTCTGCACCATCGTCCTTCACTGCCTCCACCTTTCCTCGGAGCTCAGGGCCATCCCGGCTCAGACAAAGCTCCTTCTCTTCCTTCTCATCTGCAACATCCTCCAGGAAGGACCTCTCCTCCTTGCATCCTGGTGTGATGCTCGGCCACGGGGAGAGGGGCCTCTCCTCGGGCACAGCCTTTGAGTCTCCATCTGCCCGCTGGCCCGGCTGGCACTGCTGCATGAGGAAATGCTGCAGCCGCTCCCTGTGCTTGAGGAGATGCAGCTTCTCCTCCAGCTGCTGATCCCTCACGTACACCATGGCAGCAGGGAGCTTCAGCAAAGCTGCGTGGTCTTCCCAACCATCACGTGACCTCATCCTGCCATCGGTGTCTTTGGCCTTGAGTAAATGGCTGGAGAAGCTGCTGATGTCCCGGTCGGTTGAGGCACAGTTACTCACCAACCCCAGCTGGTGCAGGGAAAGGTGCTTATGGAGAAGGCATAGCTGCTCTCTCTGGGTGGTCAGCTTTAGGTTTTCATAGGATGGAGCAACCTTGAGGGAGTCTGGTTTGCTTGCTGGTAAATAACTAAAAGAAGCAGGGAAAAAAAAAAAGGAACACATTAATTAGAGAATTTTCATGCAATTTCCAAGCTCCTGCAGATGATGTGCATGGTCTCTCCTGCTCTTTCCATGCTCTGCTGCCTGTTGGAGCTCCTGGCCCCATGCACCATGGTTGCCTTTGGGTGCTGTACTGGGGAAAAGAGTCCTGGTGGCTGCAGTGGACAGGCAGCCAGCAGTGGGTCTCCCCACTGCACTCACTGCAGAAGCCATCACCATCCCACCACCCAACATCGCTCTCCTGTCCCTGGGCTGTGGCAGCTCCAGGCAGGGGGTTGAGCAATGCAGCTGAAAAGTCACTTCTCAAACCATGCCTTACAGCCAGAAGCATCCCAACTACCCACCGTGGGGCTTTCTTAGCGTCTTGGTGAGCCTGAAGACCTCCAGGACAGAGGAACAGTCCACCCTCCCCTAATATCACTCAACAGGACATTTTCACAGCCGTGCTAAGAAGGTTGGTACAGTGCATGGACCTGCCCTGCAAACCGAATCACTGCTATTGCTGGTTATTTGGCAGCTTCTGTGTGTGCAAGCTGTTCCTGGGAATGGTTGGCAGATCTACTCCCACTCTGGGAAACTGGCTGTCTCTACAGGTGAACTCACTGGCTTTGCTCAGCCCTTTGTGCTTCTGAAATCCATGGGCAGGATAAGCCCAAGGAAGCGCTGAGCCCTGCAGGAAAGTCCATTAGAATAGATAAGGAGGAGCAGGGATTGCTGCCTCTGGTGAGGCCAGTTCTTCTCCTCCTGGCTGCAGGTGGGGGCAACTGGTTCACTTTCTGAGCCTGTCTGATGAAACTGGAGTAACAAGAGGCTCATCTCATCAGACTGCATTCCAGTAATTTTTTTTGCTGGTGTAAACTGGAAGATCCCCTCTCTCCAAAGCTGTGGGAGAAGTCTGGAGAAGAAGGTGGGCAGATGCAGTGAATGTTGGCCATCTCATTGCAGTCGGCCTGGTGGGACAGCTGCAGACTGTTCCGCACCCTGACCCACAAGCCCAGAACTCACCTCTCAAGGCTGGGGCTCTCTGCTCGCTCCGGCGGGAGAGGAGTCTTCCTTGCCGATGAAGGTGAGGACACTGCTGACCCTGAAGGACTTTTTTCCAGGAGGCAGGGTCTGGAGCCAGGTCTCACCAGGGCAATGGTTCCATGCAGCTGGTTGGCAATCCTCTGGGATGCCTGTGGCAGGGGGAGAAAGCCCAGGTGAGTCATTCTGCTGGGCACCCCAGGCAGCGTGTGGCTAAGGGGAGCCCCACCAAGCAGCTCTTCACCAGCATGAAGAAGACACATAGCTCCTAAGTGCCCTCTTTGATACATTTCTGGTCAACAGCTCAACCATATTTATTGATTTTCCCAGGAAATTTCCCCTTCATGTCTTCTAGTGGGACCTACAATACTCTTTATCTTCTGGCTGCACTGATTTGTAGCCCAGGAAGTCTTGTGCTTCCTCTCAAGTCAAGCCATGATTTGGTGGCTTAATGTCCTGGTTTTGGTGAAACTATCACACTTAACCAAGGTATGACCCTGCAAATTCCCTGACCCTTAGTCAGGCCACTAGACTTTATTCATGGAAGCTCCTGGCATGGACTGATTTGATGGTTGTATTTCCAATGGAGTACCTGGCTGTGAGGCCAGGACATCATCATCTCCATCTGCTGTCATGAAAGGCTCACCACATGTTCTGACTTGACTTTCCCCTGCCCACCTGGAGATGCCACCAACCCTTCCTGCTATCCCTATTAATTATCCTCACAGCCTGCCTGCAGCCTTACCAAAACCCCTTTTCTCCTGCTCTTGCAAGTTTTCTGTGGAGTTCAGGTAAGCGAAGCCTGTGCCAAAACAGAAGCATCTGTGTGGGTGTGTATGCAAGCTTGAGTTCCCACAGCCAGGAACAGGGCTCCAGGTCCTGCAGTCTCATCTCCTGGTGCCCAGTATCACCATATCACTCAGCATCCCTCGCTGACACATACTCTCTGTGTTTGAAAAGCATGGCAGGCTCACATCAATGCACAAAATGGGAACCACTGCAGGCCAAGCCCTCTGAAAATCCCAATATTCATTATGCTGCAGATGGAGAGACATCTGTGATGCTCTTGGGCAGGGCTGCTGTGGTGTATTTGTTCTCAGTACCCACAACTCCCACAGTTTACATGTTTTCCAGGCTCCTCCAACACTCACAATGCTCACCCAGATAATGGAGAGCTGACTCTATAACTCAGGATAAGCTACACTGAAACGTGGCTCAGGACAATCTTCCCAGGTCCTTCACTCCTCAGAGCTTTCCCCAGCAAGACATCTGAGAGAGGAACCAGAGTGATGGGCAGAGGACTCAGGGGTGATAGACATGTTGTCATGGAGGATAAACACAGGAGCAAACAAAGACGTGCACGTTCACAGCAGGGACAGGAGCCTGTGCCAAACTCCCAATGCTTTGCTTGCAGAGAGTGGCAACTTCTGCAGAGAGGACATGTCTGGCATTTGGTGGGTGTCCTCCTTGGCTCTGACAATGGCAAACTGCCCAAGTCTGGCTAATTCTTTCACCCCCTAAGTGCCTCCTACTTTTTCCCTATCCCAGTCTACCTTTCTTCATCCAGTTCAGTTGACCACAGTGGTGGGGAGAAGTCCTGAGGACATCAGGCTACCTCCAGCAACTCACCATTTCTGCGAGGCTGACTTCTTGGAGGACAGTGCCTGGGGAAGTCCTACTGCTTGGAGAACTTCTCTGTCCTGCAGGCTTTTCTGCAAAAAAGACACAACCAGCCCCTGTGATGGTCCCACAGAGCTGTTGCAGGCTGCCCTGCCCTGCAGCTGTGCTGGAATCTTGCAACCTCCCAAGGATGCTACTGACTGGTACCAACCACCTTCTATTGAAGATTTGGAGCCAAAATTTCCATCTGGTTCAAGCCAGCACCTGATTGAAAGTACCCTCCATTGCACTGGTGGATACATTCAATGGTCTCTCCATGAAATAGGTGTCAGGTCCAACAGCACTTGTCTTACAGTGAGGGCACCCAGCACTCTTTTGCTCAGATACAGAGCGGCATGTTTCTCCCTTGGCATGCATTTGCACCCCCAGCAGCTGTTCTGCCCATGGCAACGTCCATCTGAGTTGCAAACAGCTTGGCCTTTGTTCTCCAGACCCTTTCCCAGAGTTGCTTTGCACCATGGCTCAGTCACTCTTCCCATCCCCAGGTCCCTCAAGGGTGGCAGCACCCACCTTCTCCCAGCTCGAGGCCTGGCACATCATGGTGAGCTTCTTCTGCTCCCCTGTGAGCTGCTTTCTCGCTGCTGGTGTTCCTGCTCACTGGGGACAGTAAAGCCAAGGGGGAGCTTGGGGTGGAGCTGCTTTCTTTGGACGTGACTCCTGGGTGCTTTGTCCTGTCTCTGTGGAAAGAAGAAGGACACGAATGAATGAGAAGGGGCAGGAGAAGGAAGGTTTGAGAGCCACTGTACTGGGAGCTCTGAGTTGTAAAGCCCGATATATAAATATACATATTTATATTTACATGTATGTGGATATACCGGCTCCTCAGGCTCAGCTCCTTCCCTTGCAGCTTATCGTTAGCTCAGCTGCAGGCTGGAGCATGGGACAGAGCCAGCATGACAGCTCAAGGTCTGATTTCCCCACTTGGCCCTGGGTAATGTTGCAGGAAGCCACGACGTTGGGTAAGCCAAAACCCAACTGCAGCTATTGCAAAAGCTCTGTGAGAACCTGGACGTCCCTGGCTGGGCTTTGAGCCTGATGTAGGGGTGGATTCAGATGAGGAATGTGGCAGCTGTTCCCCTTCATCCTATTGAGCTGGTGGAGCTGATGCTTTTGGTTATTACGAGGGAGTTGCTGAGTCTTGGAGACCCACTGCTATGTTGTGGGCAAAGTCCTGGCTGGACCCTGATGCTGAGACATAGGTGTTGGGATGGAAATCTTCCTATTCAGCAGCCCAAGGAAGAGCAGAGCAGAGCAGGAGCACTTGGTGCTCAGCAAACCCAACCTGACCTACAGCTCTGAAATTCCTCAGGCCTTGGGAAGCGTCGGGGAGTAAAAATGGGAGTTTCTCTTTAAGTGGATGGTGCTTCTGTGCTCCAAAGAAAATACTTTCCTAAACTAATCCCTCGGTGCTAATTCCTCTGGACTTTAAACCCTTGAGGAATGAGCTGATTTGTATATACTGGCCAGCCTGGCAGGTTACTTGGCTCTCAGCACAGCGCTCTGCTGGGATATGAACCTGTTGGTGCAGATCACTTCTCCCTCTTTACCCCATCTCAGTCCCTTATGTCTCACTCTCCCTTCCCCAAGACACAACCTGCTTCCTGCAGACCCTCTCTGGCTGCTGCAGGAGGGGACCTGGTGCCATGGAAAAGCCATGGAAGCCCAGGTTGAGGTCTGTGGTGAGCAGCCTAGGGCTTTGCTTCCCATGAGCAGTCCCCCATGGTAGGGTGTTGAATACCCTTGTTCCCCAAAAACTGGATCCTTGGATGTAGGTGAACAGGGGAGCAAGCAAAGATTAACAAGGACTTGAGATCATTATGGGTGTTTTGGTGTCTACAGGTCATCAAACATCTACAGGAATCCATAGGAATTAGGTGCTAAAGTACCCCTGAGGATGCCGTGGCCAGGTTGTAGCCCAGCTGCAGGGATGCCTCTACTCTTACCAACACCCCTCGTAGTGAATGAAACCCAGGTGAGCACTTACTCCAGGCTTCGGAGCCTCTTCAATTCTTCCTTGAGAGTTTTGTTCTCTTCCCTCAGGCGGTTCGTCTCATTAGCTGCAGGGACACAAGTTGTTCAGAGAATTCAGGCATTGCAAGGAGAGAGTTCATGCTCCTCACAGCCTGTTGGGGTGCATAGGGGAGAAGGACTGGCACCAGGTTTTGGAGAGATGGCACATTTGTAGGGCTACAAAGATGATTTAGGGCCACAAAGATGATTAAGGGGCTGGGGCATCTTTCTTATGAGGAAAGACTGGGAGAACTGGGACTGTTTAGCCTGGAGAAGAGCAGACTGAGAGGGGACATTATCAATGTTTATCAATATCTAAAGGGGGGGATGTCAAGAGGATGGGGACAGACTCTTCGCAGTGGTGGCCAGTGATAGGACAAGGGGCACAAGCTGGAGCACAGGAGGTTCCACTTAAACATGAGGAAAAACTTCTTTCCTGTGAGAGTGCCAGAGCCCTGGGACAGGCTGCCCAGAGAGGGTGTGGAGTCTCCATCTCTGGAGAGATTCCAAACCCACCTGGATGCAGTCCTGTGTGGCCTGCTCTAGATGAATCTGCTTTAGCAAGGGTGTTGGACTGGATGATCTCCAGAGGTCCCTTCCAACCCCACCGTTCTGTGATTCTTTTCTTTGCTGAAAACACGCTGGGGACTAAGGGTTAAAAGGGAGCAACTTTCCAACTGGGGTTTGGTCAGGATTGGGGTCTGCTTGCAGCCCATCCAGCTCAGGGGACAAGTGTGAACCATCCAGGGTGGCGGCTGTGGCGCGGTGGGATGGACTGTGCTCAAAAGCAGCACTCGGGGAGCAATGGCATAACTGGGGAGATAAACCAAGGGCTGGCACCCCTCCATCCCTCCTAAATGTCTTCTCTCCTTTATCCCCATGACCCTGCCTGGACCAGCCAGATTCCAAAGGACAAACACCCTGAGCCTGAGCAGTGCTGGGAGCTCTGCCAGAGGCTCAGGAGAAGATCCATCACACGTGTTGCTTGATTTCCATTTATCCACACTGAGCTGCTGCTGTGACTTTCCTGTCTTTGCCAGAGTGTTGCTTCTGTGGTGCCAAATGCATCTTTTCTGCAGGCAGCTGCCATGGCCTGGCCAGCTGGAGGCTGCTCTTGGTGTGAGCATCTCTCATTGTTCTAGGGGTGTGGAGGGCTACAACCCCCCAGCTCTGCTGCTTTGTGCAAGCAGTTCCCTCTGCTTGGGGGGGTGACATTGGCTGCCATCCACAGTCCTGGTCAGGTCTGATTTTTCAAGGTCCCTACACTCACATCAGTGTCCCTTCTCCCCATCCCCAAACTTCTCCTGGGTGCCAGGTCACGGGGCGGCTCATGTGCAAATATCTGGGAGAGGCATTAACTAAGCAGCGACCCAGCCAGCCAAAGCTGAGCTTACACATACCAAGGATGAAGATGTGCTGCAGGCTCTGGAAATGGGACGTCTCATACTCATTCTGCTTCTTTTTCGCCAGCTCCTGGGTGACCATGCATCTGTCACAGAGACCTGCTCGCAGCCTGGGGGAAAACCCACGGCCAACAGCTTGTTAACATACAGTTCCTACGGGGGAAATAAGCTCCTGCCCTCCCCACGGAGAAGCGTGTGCACCCAGCCCATCACCCATGGAGTTATCACCCATCACCCATGTGTTATCACCCCTGCAGCCCAGCCCTGACCCTTCCACCCTCCAGATCCAGCCCCACCACCATCAGCTTTGGAAAGCTCCTCTGCACATGTCCAGGCTCTCCCAGCTCTCCCAGCAGCCAAGTACAAGCAAAAAAGAAGTTCATGAGCTCCATCCCACTCCTGGGAAGACAGTAAACCCCAAACTCTCCTCCTGGGAGGGTGCACTCACTGCCACTGAACAGCACCCTGTTGAAAAAGAAATCTTACCTGTTTTCTAACACCTTTACATTTTCTTTAAGGACCTTCTGTTGTTCCCTTAGCTGGTGATTTTTAGCAAACAACTCTTCAATTCTCTGAGCATCACTAATTGTAGAAACAGAGAAAAGAGAAGAGGGTTATTAGACTTCTCCCTCAGATCTGTGCCTTTACCCACAGCACCCTGTCAAGGGGAAGGATTTCTGCTCTGAGCCCACCACACATCCATATGGTTGAATTGCTTTTGCTTGTGCAGCAGGAGGGGAAATAAATGTGTTAGAGGCCAGATGCTGCTCTGCAACACCCACCCATGGAGTTAGCAGCTTGTTTCCACCCTGCTTATGGCTTCTCAAGAGAGCAAGTGTCCATAGGCACGAGCATCACTTGCCAGTGGGAAGGTAAAGTGGACCTGAAACACCCACCCATGGAGTTAGCAGCTTGCTTCCACCCTGCTTATGGCTCCCCAAGAGAACAAGTGTCCATGGGCACAAGCATCACTTGCCAGTGGGAAGGTAAAGTGGAGGTGGGCTGGAATCACCCCAAACCCTGCCTGTGCTGGGGACTTGCATGGCAAAAGTCACCAAAAGATTTAAGTTTGGCAGAGTCAAAAAGGCAAATCATGCTCTCCAATTCAGGCAGCCCTGGAGGAGTGTCTGGAGGATCTGAAAATGAAGTGGCATAACCTCCCCTTCACCCTCCATGGCGTGCAGAGAGGAGACTTGGTGTTCCTCACCGGCACTTCTCCGTCGTCCTCTCATTCAGCTTGCTTTGCAGACCTGGAATAATTAACAGAGATGGAGAGGTGGGTATTTATTGTCAATTCCCCAACACTTTGGAGACAAAATGCAATGATGGAACTTCAGGAGGACACCTGGCTTTGCAGAAACCTCACCAATTTACAAACCTTATTCCCAAGAAGGAATAACCCATTGCCTGTGCTAGAGAACATCACAGATTAACGTAGCTGGAAAAGTTGTACAGGATGTGAACACATTTTGTATTTCCACTATTTAATGAGTCTGCACTTCCCCTCCCACCCCCAGAAAGTCTGTTTCAGTTTTGTTCCTGGTTATTTCTCCTTACAGCACGCATCTCCCAGGTGGGCAGTATTTTACAACTCTCAGAGCTGCAAAGCATCTTGGAGGATATTTACAGCTGAACAAGAACTGCTTTCGTTGATGGATCTGCAGACGTTACACCTTGTCAAATCCATTTTATGCAAAGTAGATGTAAACATGTGGTTTGAATTGCTCAACAGTTTCCTCTAACTCTCACATGGCTTGAAACTACACAAGCGAAGAATAAATTCATCAGCCAGATCCTCCAAAAGCGCTGTTGGTTGGTTCATAGTATTGATACTGGGAATTATTCTAATAGGAAAACAATTGGATTTAGTGTTTGGTTGCTTATTCTAATGGTTCTTATTTTAATAATGTATGATCTGAGGAATAATCTATTCCCTAGAGGAATAAAGTCTCTAACCTGACTCTAAGGTTTTCTTTAACAGAGCTTCATACTCCCGCTGCTTCAGCCTTACAGATTATTGCATCTTTCCACTTTTCCTTTGAGCCCTCAGTATCCAAATATACTCCAATCCACGTTGCTCGGAGAAGATGCCCAGCAGGTGTGTGTCACTTCTGCAAACCTCCCAGTTCACCCTTACCACAGACCATGGCAGCAGGAGCAGGAAAGGAGCCAAAACCCTCATGATCAATTCTTGAAGCAAGTGGGATTCCCACAGGTGGGATATCTCCAGGTTTACTGGATGCAGGAACACCCTCTCTCTCCTGCTCCTCCTCATCGTCCAAAAAGTTACTGATTTTCTCAATAAATCTTGTTCTCCACTGAGATAAGATGGATAAACCATCCCAAGGTGCCATTGGATGGTGTGATCCCCTGAGGGCCAGGCTGTGACCCTGTGTCCCCATCCATCCCCATAGCTGATGCTTCCTGAGCCCTAATTCCCAAAGTTCCCTAATCCACACCCATTCCTCCTCCCTTTGGGTTATTTCAAACCAAACAGATGAAGGTGGCAGCACAAAGAAATGAACCTCCACCAGTTTTTAATAAGACTTCTCATGTCTCCTTACCTTGGACCTCTTTCTCATGGATTTCCTTGAGCTTATTCAGGAAATCTGCAAAACTCTCTGTGGTCATGTTCAGGGCTGTGCTGGGCGCCGGGATGCTTCCAGCACAAGGGTGTCTTTTTGCTTCCAATTATTCAGGTTTCAGCCTAAACCAGAAACAAGAAGTCCAATAAAAGAGAAGTGTCTTGTGTATGTGGTGCTCTGGAAAGTCTTAGAAACAGGACAAAGTCCAAATCTAGAAACTGAGATTATTTGCTAAACCACAGACATGCACAAAGCAAAAGGCTCATCCAGGGAGGTGTTTTCAGACCTGTCCACCCTTCCCCAGCCCAGGGCTGGGGACATGGGCAGAGCAGAGCATGATGGCTTGGAAAACAGGAGAACTGAAAGCCCAACAGAAAAATCAAGCTTTTTCTCTACTTTTTGAGCTGTATAATCACATTTTTCTGGGATGAGGCGAGGCAGGGCGTCTTCAGGAGGAAGGGATTGCAGGGCTTGTGCTGGGACCACATTGCTGGGGACTGATGATGGGGAAACTTGCAGAAGCTTTGGTGCTTGAGCCTGATGGACCCATCTCCTGTTGAGTTCTGAGATGCTTCTGTGCATCCCTCCTCCCTCTGACACCACACACAGCTTCTACAGAGGCAACATGTACCACTTGGCCACCCTGCTGTCATCACCCTGGGCTTCTCCTGTGGCCTCGTGTCTGCAGCCTCTTCAAACCCTTGGGAGACACCAAACTGAGTGTTATTCACCCCATTTTACCTGGAGAGGGGGTGTGCAGAGCTGAGCTCTACAGGGAGGCTGGTGGGTGCAGAACTGGTGTGGGCACAGCACCCATGGGGCTGAACGTGAGCTGGGGCACCCCGGGGTGCTCTGGCTGTCCCCGCCCCTGCCTTGGGCTCAGGTCTCTGCTCAGCCTGCCCCTGCCTCAGTTTCCCCATTGATATTATGTGGTTATTAACGTTCCATCATGCTGAGTGCCATCACTTAGTGCTGGCAGTAGTGCTCTAGAATAACTGAGAAAAGATAAAGTGTTCTGCTTGATGAAAAAACCCCTTACTTTTCAGTTTTTGATTGGATTTTGTAAAAATCCCCCCAAAACAGGACAGGTAGAGAGCTGCTCACAATGCCCCCAGCTCAGTAAGCTGGGAAAGGCAGGAGGTAAAAAACCAACCTGGAAGTAAAGTGGCTGTTTTTTTAAGAATTTTGCCCTAATTTTAAGAATTTTGCCCTAATCCCAGTGATCATAAATTTCAAAATTACTAGCAGGGAAGAAAAGCAGAAACTTTGGAGATGAGAAAGCTCATTAGACCTGTGATGTCCTCATTCCTCCCTGGGATGCTGATGTTGGGATAGACTCTTTCCTTTCCATCAGCCAAAGCCTTGAGGAGTCTTAGATTCCCCCAAATAGCTCTGGGTCCGAGTCCCTCCTGGACCACGGTGGTACCAGGGAGGAGCATGTGTCTGAGCAACCCTTCAGAGCATTGTGGAAGGTGTCCAACCTCCCTGCCCCTCCGAGCAGGTCAGCAAAGCCCTGCCTGCACTGGGATGTCCTCCAGAACCACCCAGACCATGCTGGGAGAAGAGGGACTTCCAGGTGGGGACATTCAGCATTGCCACATGGCAGCTTCTCCCCTAAAAGTCACACCAGTTACCGGGTCATGACCAGTAATCCCATTCCCAAGAAAGCACCTGGACACTCAGCCTTCAACCACACAGAGATGACCAAGGAGAAAACCTCCCCTCTGTTGTTGGAAGGTGAAAGGCCAGGCTTGGACCTGGGTTTTGCAACCCCACAGCAGCACGGGGAGGTTTCTGCTGGGCTCCATCCCAGCTCCCCGCCGGCAGCCCGCCCGTGCTTTATCTTCATGCAGAGCAGAGGTGTGCCGGATCGCCTGCATATGCAAGATGTGGGCACACAGAGCTGGAAGAAGAAACTTTCCCCTAAAGCATCTGATTTTCAAAAGAAATGAGGCACGCGCCGGCGAGCAGAAGCAGCGAGCTCGGCTTGTGCGCTCCTAGCACGCCCGGATCAGCAAACAGCTGGGTTGCCTTTTGAGCAAAGAAGCAGAGATCTCACTGTCTGGTGAAACACTTTAAAAAAAAAAACCCAAAACATTAATTGTTCACAATTCCCTGGGCACAATCCACCCTTTTGCAGGGCTGGGTGATCTCTCCCAGCAAGTAAAATCCACCCGAGGCACAGTGCGGCTTTTTCCGGCTCGCGCGGCTCGGGCGCGGCCGCCGTGAAATGGGATTTGGAACTGATCTCTGCTGCTCAGCACCAAGAGCCATCGCTGAAGAACCACCCAGGAGAAATAATACCTGGCTTTGCTCCAGAAAAGAAAAATGAAACCCCTGTTAACAGGAAGGACTTCCCGGGATCGCCGAGTCCTGAATTTGGCTCTGCCCTGGGCAAAGTACCTCTGCAAGGTTGTGAGACCCACCGCTGCCATCTGTGCTCAGGCACCAATTCCCATTGCATTCCCCAATGCTGCAAACTGGGAAGGGATTGCAACTGGGAGCAGAGCTGGTGATGTCCACGTGGGCTCCCTACGATGCTCATGGGTGCTGGATCAGCCCCTGCCCACCCTGGCACTGCCCTGTCCCCAAGGCTGGTGTCCCCCAGGGCTGAGCAGCACTCAGTGTTTTGGGCCATGGGGGTCCAGCTGGGACACCCCAGGGAGGTGACATCCAGGCTGGGCTGGGGGGAAAGGTGAAGGGCACAGGGACAGCCCAGGTGCTCAGTGCTGGATCTGGATCCCAGCTGCTGTGACTCAGCACTGAGGGCAGAGCCCGGCAGATCAGGATTTGGGGTTGGGGTGTGGGCAGTCGCTTCTCCTTCCGTACATGGCTGCTGTGCCAGAAGGGCTGATTTTCTTTTTCTCAGAGCCTCCAGGTCAGATACCCTCCGTGGGGATCGGTGACCCTCTAGGGAAGGCTATTCCCATTTTTGGTGCTTTTTTGGATGCCAATATCTGTCCCTGCCTGCAGATGGGACTGCCACTCTGCAGCAAACCCGGTGAGGACTTTGGGTCTCTGGTCTGTGCACACACACAGTTACAGAGGAGTCACACGAGCATCACCCCTCGTGCATCTGCACCCAGGATTTGACATTTCACCGTGGCAGAGCCACCCCACAGACAGCCCAGGCTCTCCGAGGACTTTGGCTTTGCTCCCTTCTTGCCCAGTGTGGACTGGCCAAGACATGAAGCCACAGCCTCCAGCTTTTCCACCTCGCTCGAGAGGATTTATTGAGGGAGATTTATTGATGAAGACCAGACCTCAGAGTCCCTCAGTGTGGAGCTCGCTCCCTGACACAGGGATTTCATTTACAGCCCTGAGCCCTTTCCAGAGCTGTCACTGTAATATACGCCCGGCGGTGCCAGACGCGGGGCTGGGAGCAGCCCTTTGGCGTGCTGGTGGGACCGGCTGTATTTCAAAGTGACAGGTGCCCTCTGCAAACAGAGCCCCAGCGTTGGGGACTGGAGGTGAACTCCTCCTCCAGCCCCCAATTCTGGGGGGTTTGGAAAGCCCAAACCCCCAAGGAATGGCAGTTGCTGATGGTTGTGGCTTTGCTCACCTGCTCTCTGCGTCCCTTGATGCTCAGCTCAGGGTGAGACACGGGGTCCAGATTGGGGCACAGGGTCCCCAGCACCTTGGTTGTCACACATAGGGCTGGGGCAGCCCCTGGCATCGCCTGGGTACCAACGGCATCGCTCTGCAGGGATGGAAGGATGCTCCTGACTGCGGCTGGGGAGAGGGAAAACAGTGGAGAGGTTATTTCCCAGCCCATGCCAGGGGCCTTGGGAAGGGACAGACTGGGACAGCTGGCTCTGACAGCACAGCCACCCCCATTCCCTGCTCCCCAAGGGCTTTCTGGCCTCTCATTACTATCCCCAGTGCTGCCGGCCACGCTTGCACAGAGCCACAGCACATCCTCACCCTCAGCACAGCTTCCTTTCAGAAGAATAAAGCAGCTCATTAGCTAAATGAGCTTAAGATGTTAAAAAAAATTAAAATAAAAAAATAAAATGGCAGGACTGTGAAGGTCTGACACTGTCGGATTAGTGAAGCTTAATGGATTTACAACCAGATATTTCCCCATCAGCAGCTCTGGAGTTGTTCAGCTTCAGGCTGGATTTATGTAATATACCTTTTGCTGGCTGATTGCTGGGCAGGGCTGCTTTCACCAGCCAAACTTTATTTTCTTGGCTCCTCTACTATGTTCCGGGTCTAATTTTAGAATTAGAAATTGAATTTATACCCAGAAAAGCTGCCTGATCACTCATGGAAAATCTGCAGTGCCAGGAGTATGTTGCAGGCCAGCATGAAGCTGATCCACTTTGCTGATGTGCTGTGCACTTGGCAGAGCAGAGAGATGTTTTTGTGGGTTGTTGGTTTTTTTCCCCCTGAGTATTTATTTATTTGTAAGACTTAACGTGGCACAGGCTGTCCTAAAATGGAACCCAGCACTTGCTCTCCACCAGGCTGGTTCTGCATGCGGGTGTTGATAGGGGCTGGCAGATTGCAAAATTACCCCCCGACAGGTGAGACAGGAGGAGCAGCTTTGGCTCTTGCCTTGCCAGGGAGGAGGATAAGGTGCCTTCCTCCACCTCGCACAACCCGAAAATCCTCTTGGCAGCTGCTCTGCCAGAGCCCTTCCTGCAGACACCCTGCCCCAGGGTCACCTCTGCTGACTTAGGATGGGGATCCCACCTGGGTTTTGTGGAGTTGCAGTGGGGCTACAAGCTATCCTGATGGCTCTCTGGGTTTGCTGGGGACCAGGGCTGGTCACAGCCCCCTGAACAAGCTAAACAGGACCAGCAGCACCAGGGAGATGCTGCTCCTGCTCATGTGTGTGCAGACGTGCCCCATTGCAGGGAGAGGAGAACAAGAGTGAATCCTCCAAGATGAAGCTCAAGTCCCAACCTGCAACCCTTTTTACTTCAATCCTATAAAACGTGTTGCCATAATACAGCACAGCCCCGGCTATCACAAAACCATCAGCTCAGCTTCTCCTCCACCACCCGGGCCCTTTGAGGGCAGCTTCTGTTTCTCTCACCG